GCACCATGTGCTCACTCCACACCAGGATGCTCTGAGTTCCCCTGGATGCAAAGGGGAGCCTTGGTTGGCTTGACAGGTGCCTCCAGAATGTACCAGTAGGGGAGTAACAAAAGACGAGGCCAGGGGCATCTCTGTCAAGAGCAGCTGGGGCTTCATCTTTCTGGAACCTAGAAGTTGGTGTAGAATGAGCTTCAGAAGTGTCTCGGCCGTGAGGCAGGAAGCTGCCAGATTTATTCTTCCGCTCTCACCAGTCATTGGCTGAGGATGACTCCTGAGAAGACGATGAACTCGTGGGTAGGTTTAGCCTGTCCCCCACAAGCCGTAAGGCACAGCGTCGGGGTCACTATCCTAGTGGGAGAGACTAACAGGATCTACTGCACAGGTTCTAACCACCCTTCACGCACCCAGCACCGGGAGACACTCATGGCACTGACAGAGCACTTACTGTTACGTGTGCCATTGTGTGAACATCCACCTAGCTGTGCTGGGTAGATGGAAAACCGGGGCTCTGTCAAGGACACACACCTAAGGGAGTTGCAGAGCCAGATCTGTGGAACTTACAGCCTGGGCACCACAGCTTTGTACAGACAGGAGGGCATCTTTCCTCTGCTGTAGAAATCCCCAATTCTGTGCACCGTAAGAGAGTGCCAGGAAGGCTGAGCAGCCCACTGGCCACGTAGCTTTCCTTTTCAGAGATAAGTGACCCCTGGTTCAGATGGGAGAAATGGAAAAAGCAGCAAGGTTTTTTTTAAAAAAATTATTTATAGTTGTTTATTTTGTTTATCTGAATGGCAGAGAGAAAAAGGGAAAAGGTTGACATGTGCTAACTTCCAAATGCTTGTGGAAGCTGGGGTCAGGCAAGGCTGCGGCCAGGAGCCAGGGACGCTGTCCAGGTCTCCCACACGAGTGGCAGGGACACAAGGACACGTGCTGCCTCCTGAGATGCATGCTGCGTTGGAGGAAGCTGGAGCTGCGAGCAGAGCTGGGACTTGAACTCTGAATGTAGGATATCAACATCCTGAGCCTCATCTCAACCACTGGGCCAAGTCCCCCTCCTTCCGCCCACCCCCAAGAAGCAGGAAGGTTAGCGTCTCAGCCACCAACGTGTGTGTGCTCAGTGTCCAGATCAGCAAGACGCCATGGGGAGCCACCTGCAGAGAAAGAGATCCCAGGGCATGGCTCTAAACCACTCCCCTCACCTGCTCACAAGTTTTCCAGCCTTTGCGCCACTACCCCGCCCCGGGTCCTCAGGAAGCCCTCTCTGATTTCTAATGGAAAACGGCAGGGAGCTGTGTTGAGGCGGTGGGCTAGGCCACCGCCTGCAGTGCTGGCGTCCCATCTGAGGGCCAGCTTCCATCCTGGCTGCTGCACTTCTGATGCAGCTTTCTGCTAATACAGCTGAGAAGGCAGGGGAATCAGGCATGAGCGCTAGGGCCCCTGCCACCCACATGGGAGCCCCAGCTGCGGTGCTGGGCTCCGGGCCTCAGCCCGGCTCCACTCCGTCTATTGTGGCCGTTTGGAGGAGTAGCTGGAGCAGGATTGTTCTCCATCTCTTCCTCTCTCTAACTCTGCTTTTCAGATAAAACTATACAAAAAAAATGCAATAACAAAAGATAGGATTTGGGATGTTTTCAGCATAAAGAAATGTTACATGTTTGAAGAACTAAATATAGTTATCTTTGGATAAAGTATCATTTATATGTGTCCTGAAAGATCACATAGCATTCCCTATGTATGTCCGATTTTATGTCTGTGAAATTAAAAAAAAATTTTTTTTGTTAATTAAAAGAAAGGTAAAAAGCAGGCCAGGCCAGATTGTAGGAAAATCTTCTCTCTGGAAGATTCACTGCTCCTGGCATTGACTTCCCAAACTGTCAGGCTCTTCCCCAGCCCACCCCCAGCACACCGTGTGTCTGAGGACAGGCGGCAGGCTTGTCCCATCTGCCTGCAGCCCTCCAAGGCCTCTGCAAACCGTGCCTTGTTTGATATTCAGGACATTCAGGGGAGCCCTGGTCTCTAAGCTGGGAGAGTCAGGCGCTCATTAGCAGACACTTAAATGTCAAAGGGAGACCAATCTGTGGAGCTCAGCCTACAAAATCTCCCTCCTTCCCCACCCTTGCCGCATGGCCACCTGATGCCCAGGCAGGCTGCAGGAAGTCCTGTGTGCAGAGACCTGCCAGGGTCCAGGCTCCCCCTGCCCTCCCCTCTCCTTTTCATTCTGTGGACAGCTAGCAAGGAGACAGACCCTTGATGGCCCCTCACTGAGAGCCCACAGCATACAAGGCTTGTTCCTGTCCTTCTCTGACTATCCATGCCCTCACTGTGCTGACATTCGTGTCTCCCCACCATTAGTCGTCATTTTTGAGCCTGCCAGGCCGGGGAAGAACGGTGACCCTCTGGTGCGTCCCCAGGAGGATGAGTTGTGCTGAGGTGCTGGGTCAGGGCTGGGTCTCTGGAGGTACACATGAAAGTGGCCCTTCCAGAAGCCTGAGCCCAGAGCCGGGTACGCAACTGGGGCACAGGCGAGAGGGTAGAGCCAGTGTGACCAGGGAAATCCGGGTGCAAAGCCCAAGAGCTTATGGGATCCTGAGAGATACCCTGGTGTCTTCAGTAGCTCAAAGTCGTGTCTGCAAGAGGAGGTAAGGGTGGCCCCTCACAGCAGGAGACCCCACAGGCCACTGTGAGCACCCTTAGGCTCTCACACGGCCACCGTCAGAGGCCCACATGCCAGCACAGGCACTCATACAGGAGACCCTCTGGGCACCAGGTACAGGGGTGCTCTTGGCACCCCAGGGAGAGGCTTCGTCTGCACGGCTTCAGTGTAGACTCCCATCCCTCCTGTGACTCACTCCTTCTCTTCATATGGTGCATTTCCACTCAGGTTGAAGAAATAAACATTTTGTTCCCGATTAGGTGCTGGATGTTCAGGGGATTGTTGGGAAATGCCAAAGCCCTGGTGTCACTGAGCCAGTTGGGAGGGAGCTTAGCTGATGTTCAACCTGGCCCTCTGCCAGGAGAGCGGAGTCCTCCTTTCAGCTAGCTGGTTGCTAGGCAATCCCCAGCACCCTGGGGTGACTGTCTGCATGCGCGCACACCCTGGTGAGACTCACCTCTGAGAGGCCTGCTGTGCAGCCACACAGTCACATACAGACACAGTCAGACACCACAGGCAGACATGCACCTGCCCCAGAGTCCTCTGTGCCCCGCCAGCGACCTGGCCCACAGAATCTCCGTGGCTCTGTCCGAGTTTGTGTGCACAGTCTGCGATGTGACCCCATAAGCACACACTGTCACTCGGCCTGACACGCACATCCAGCGTCATACCCTACACTCTCGGTGCACAGCTGCCCTCTGGTCAGCCCCTCCTGCCTCACCATTGCGCAGTGGAGACACACATCCCCACGTGTGCCCAACCCTTCACCTCCCCTTTTGACTTGACTTTGATTTCTGCTTAGTCCTGTATGGGGACTCCAAGACTCCCCTGAGCCAGCCCCAAAGGGTCCTCCCTTGGCTCCAGCCCTCCACGTCGCTGCCCGTGATGAGTCCAGGGGATCTTGGGACAGTACGTGTGGCAGAGTCTCCGGAGACTCAGGGTCAAGCTCCGTACCTCTAGGGGATGTTTACAGAGAGTCCGACCTTGGTGTCCAGGGCCCTGGGAGTGACAGCCCTGAATTCCTGAATGAACTGTGTAGCCTAGAGCAGGATGGGTGCTGAGGGCAGGGGGAGGAAGGACAATGACACAGTCCAGCCCCTGCCTTGTAGAGACTGCTGGAGCAGGTGCACAGACTTGGAGTTCAGACACTGCTGGGCTGGTTCTATCCTGCCTCCCCCACACGGCCCCCTGGCGCCAAGCCTCTCTTAACCCTTCTGTTTACTAGGGAGAGTGGGATGTTCCTGGTGGGGACCAGGGGAGTTCCATTAACTAAGATGCATTAAGCACACAGGATGCCTGGCACATGGAGAGAACTTGACCATATCATCAACAAAGATCTTGGATTTAGGATGGATTTAGATCCTGGGTCTCGCCTGGGAGGTGACCTGTGTCACCTTACCTGGTGGGCTTCAGCTCTCCAGACCTCGAGTTTCCTCACCTGTAAACATGGGTGACTCCCCAGCCCAGCTCCTGGCAGTTAGCCTGGGATCAACACAGGCAACACCAACACGTTAACATAAGCATCTGTTCCTGGTAACAGGATTAGTGTGGTAATTATTGGGAAGAAGCCCAGTCTTGGGAGACTGAAAAAGCTGGCTTTGATCTTACTCTGCCATGTGATGGCTCTGTGACCCTGGAAACCAGCAGGCCTCCTTGAGCCTCAGTTTTCTCATCTATAAATGGAGCTAGCCACAGCACCTACCATACCTGACTCCTAGAAAGACTAAGATGGGTTCCCACGTGCCTAGCATGGGGTCTGGCATTGACCTCGGCAGGGGTCCAGTGAACACTAGTGGAATCCAAAGACGGGAGACAAGCACCATTGTTTCTCAGAATGAGGCCAACATGTCAGTGCCCCAGGACCTGAGTTAGCATCAGCACAACTTTCTCGTGGAGCAAAAGGTTCACCTGCCTCTTGGCTGTAAACCATTGGCCCTGACACCCCTTCCCACCACCCCCGCCCTCACTTACCCAGCGTAATCTCTTAGCATCATTAATTCTTCCTCTGTACCACCTTACAGGGCTTCCTCCGAGTACCCCAGGCCACAGAATAGAAGGCTGTCCAGTGTTTCTCTGGAGGATGGTTTTCCTCTGCGGACTGGGCCAGTGAGGCCTCAGCTGTGGGAGCCTTCCAGTGGGGCCTCCTCCCTCCTTGGATGCTCTCTGGAGAACAGGCTTGAGTGTCACTGCATGGCCTGACCTCTGTTCCCACTGCACGTGAGGAAGGGAGTGGACTAAGCCCTAGATGGACCTCCTGCCATGAGTCAGCAGCAGTCACCATTGGCACCTCTCATCCAGGTTTGACTCCTGCTAGGTCTGACCGCTCCTTCTCCCTCTGGCTCCTCAGATGGAAGCGCTGTGTTCCGAGGCTGCTTCCGCAGACCCGATAACCTCTCCCTGGCCCTGCCTGTGACGGCCGCCATGCCGAACATGTCCGTGGACAAGTGCGTGGATCTCTGCACAGAGAAGGTGAGGGGCAGGTTTTGCTCGCGGGGAGCTGGGTTGGGGGACGGTGTGGAACAGCAGAAGGAACGGGACGCCCAGTTGGGGAAGTGACAGGATGGTTACTGATGATGATTTGTGATGGGGAGAGGGATGTGACAGTTGCTGCCTATGGATCCAGGAGGGATGAGGTCGCAGGGCTTCCCTGCCTTCGCGGAAGCGTCTTCTCTGACAGCAGGGAAAGCTCCAGAAGGAAGGTGGCATTTGAACTAGACCTGGAAGATTGCCAGCTACAGGCAAGGACAGTCTCACCTCAAGCCAGAGTGAGCTCCCCAGCCCTGCAGGTGTGCAAGCAGAGGTAGGGCCGGGACAATGCCCAGGCCCTGGATAGCACTGCAGTCGAGTGATTCACAAAGCCCTCTCTGAGCCTCACATCCTTATCAGCTGACTGTCCACTAAGGGACCTGGCACACTTGGTGCATCCTTCCACCCTAACCCCAGCAGAGCACTGAACCCACAATCGGCACCCAGCCGATCTGAGGAACCCCAGTGTTCCCTCAGGATGAGCCAGTCACGTGAGTGTCCAGCACAGAACTGTCTCTTCTCCACCTTGGAACGTTGGTAAGACGTCTCATGTCTGTACTCTGTGAAGATTTAGCGAGACGTCACCCCGTGCCAGGCCCCAGGCTCAGCGCTGAGCTGGCCTCCAGCCTACAGGGCGCTGGCATTTAGGTGGGCGCCTCCTGAGTGCTCAGACCTCACCCGCCTCCTGGCTGCCCTCTCCTGGCCTGAGTCTTCCTGCCTGGCTGTTTCTTACTGATGTTTCTGGACCAGGAGGCCCAAGGGGCAGCTGCTTGCTGACAAAATCCTCCATGCAGCCCCTTTGCACCAGGCTCTTATGGTTTTTTTCTCCCAATCATCCTAAGCATGGAATAACTTTTTTAAAAATTATTTTTATTGGAAAGGCAGAATTAGAGAGAGATCTTCCACTTTCTGGTTCACTCCCCAAATGGCTGCAATGGCTAGAACTGGGTTGGTCTGAAGCCAGGACCTTCTTCTGGGTCTTTCATATGGGTTCAGGGGTCCTTTTCCTCTGCTTCCCGAGACACATTAGCAAGGAGCTGGGTTGGAGCTGGGACTTGAACTGGTGCCTATATGAGAGGGCAGCACTGCAGGTAGAGGCTTAGGTTGCTGTACCATGGTGCTGCTGCCTCTCTCCCTGCCCCAACACACACACATATAGGAAATCTTTATCCCCATTCACAACTGAGAAAAAAGACTCAGGTGAAACTGCTCCCAGAGAGCGGCAGAGCTGGGGTTGACACCCAGGGCAGACTCTAGGCTCAGGTGGCCACAGAGAGGCCTCCTGGGGCCATGCGCGGGCAACCCAGCCATTTCCAATCACCCAGCATCTCCCCAGTGCTCCCTGTACCCCTACAGGCATCCCAGAAGGTGGGGAATGAAGGCCATGAGGTTGGAGGAGGCACGGCCATTGCTTATCCCCGCTCGCTCTCCTGGACAAGAGCTCCCTGCCTCCCCAAGTGCAGGTGTCTCACTCCCTGAGGGCCCCAGAGGAGATGGGCCAGATGCGAGGGGACAAACACTCAGAGAATGGTGAGGCCACAGGCTAGCCTGTGTCACTGAGGGAGATGAGCGCAGGTGTGTGTGGGTGCACAGGAAGCACCCCCGCTCCCCGCCCAGGATCCTCTGATCTCCTTGGGACCAAAGGAGAGACTGAACAGGCTGAATGGGGGGAACATGGAGTTGCTGGTGCCATGTGGGAGAGGCAGGTCAGGGGAGGCGTCATGTGTGCTATTACAAGATACCATCAGCCTAGTCCCTAAATCCTCACCTTCCATCTGCCGGGATCCCATATGGGCACCAGTTCATGTCCTGGCTGCTCCAGAAGATCTTTCTCTCTGTCTCTCCTTCTCTATTTAAATATGACTTTCCAATAAAAATTTAAGAAAAAAAAATTTAAATGATGCCGTCAGTCATGGCTCATGTAGAGCCTCCTGCCGAACACTGTCCCTCCCTGCTCTCTCCTCTGCCTCTGTCTCCTCCTCTCTCTCTTCCCCTTACCTTCCTCTCTCTCCTCTCTCCAGCTAGGCACCACAAGTCATATTTAATATCCGTTAGAAAGAAAGAGACTAAACCAATTGTGAAAGTCTCAGTGGATCCAGCCATATCCATAGGTGTGACCTTGATTTGCCACCCAATTATCCCCACCACCAGGCAGAACTCTGCACTGTGGGTATGGTTTAGAAGCAAATTGGACGAGGACAGATTCTTGCTCCCAAAGCCTCAGGTCCACGCTACTCCTAGGTGAGTATTCCTTAGAACAGATGAAGTCATCAGGAGCAGCTCTCTCAAGAAACCCTGCACACGTGTGGGTATCAATCTCCTTGGCTTGAAAGAGCAGATTCAGACAGCTCTACCCAAGCACAGACACTTTCTCTCTGTCAGACCATGGGGGCATTTACCGTGGAATGCTGCAGGATGCTGAGAGAGCCATTGCTTTCTCAATTCTCTTTCAAGTCCTCCAGGAGACAGCTCAGTCTCCATGCTAAAGTGCCTTTAATGTCTCTCTCCTCCACTAATCTCCCTTCTGCAGAGAAGGTGGAGCCAGCCTCAGGCTCAGCACCGTGACAGCTGAGAGTGCCCAGGTAGAATTTAATTAAAGTCTTTGCTCAGGAGCCGTGGGGGATTGGTTCCAAGCCCCCTGCAGTGCCCCGAATCTGAGGGTGTTTAGGTTCCTGATGCCTCGCTCATAAAGTGTCTCCAGATTACACTGAATTCCTGACCCAGTGTCCATGGTTGTCATGCTGTATGTTCAGGGAGTAACGACAAGTGAGTGAGTGAGCATCCATTCAATTTTTTTAAAATATTTTTATTGGAAAGTTATATTTACAGAGGAGAGAGACAGAGAAGTTCCATTCACTGGCTCACTCCCCAAATGGCTGCATTAGCTGGAGCTGAGCCGATCTGAAGCCAGGAGCCTTCTCCACGTCTCCCATGCGGATGCAGGGTCCCAAGGCTTTGGGCCATCCTTGACTGCCTTCCCAGACCACAAGCAGGGAACTGGATGGGAAGTAGAGCCGCTGGGACATGAACCGGCGCCCCTATGGGATCCCACTTGCAGGCTGAGGATTACCCAGATGAGCAAATCATAAAAAAGTGTTTTTATCTGCAGTGAATCGAAGCCCTGTAGTCTTTAGTTCTTGCATTCACTCACTGGAAATGCAACTCGTCCGTAAGAAGTACCTGAGGTAATGACATCACATTTCCTGTGAAATTCCAGTTTCATTGATCCTGGGGACACGCAGCCAGCCTGTGAGGGGGATACCCCCTCCCTTGTGGACGGCAGTTCGACTCACAACAGCTCGGATACAGAATCAACATGGCTATCCATCCACTGACAAGTGGATAGAGAAGAATGTGGACATATAGGCAACAGAATATTATTCAGCTATTTAAAAAAAAAAGTGGGGGGAGGATGAAATCCTGACATTCACACACAAAGAAATGGATGCAACTGGCAGTCACTGGGTGAAATGAAAGGATGGAAGGATAGATAGCACGCGTTTTCCCTTACTTGTCTATGTTAGTATACAGAGTATGAAAACTGGGTGGCTGACATCTCATTTGGTATTAAATCATAAATACTGCTTCACTGAATCAGACACTGTGACTGACGACACACTCTTTATCCTACGTATAAAGAAAAGGGAGCAGGGGGAATAGTGAGGCCCCTTGGGCTGCTAGCGCAGTGTTGTTCTTGATTTGCGTGTTGTTTGTGAATGTGCTCAGAGCACAGAATCTCACTCACCTGTGTACATTTCTTGATGCATAAACTGCATTTCCAACAAAATGTCCTTTAAACATTAGGTATGAAGAAGCGAGTTGATAGCAGGTTCTCAGGTGAAGTTTGAGGACCCCACTTTGGGCAGGGCAGAGAGGGGACTGTTGGGATGTGTGGAGCCCAGGCTGGTCCAGGGATGTGGTGACTTCAAGTTTTCTCCTGTTCGGTCCTCAGGAGTACCCACTGGCGGCCCTCGCGGGCACCGCCTGCCACTGTGGTTTCCCCACCACCCGATTCCCGCTGCATGAGAGAGAGGATGAGCAGCTGTGTGCTCAGAAGTGCAGCGCTGAGGAGTTTGAGAGCTGCGGGACTCCCAGTCACTTCATTGTGTACCAGACACAGGTGCAAGGTAAGCCCAGCCTCCCGCAGGGCCCCCAGCGGCCCTCCTCCCGGTCCATTCCCTAAGGTCTATAGCAAGAAGGGGATGCCATGAGCTTGGAGGGCAGAGGGCGTGGCCTGGCTTAGAGGTCCTGGAGGGGCCCAGCACCCCAGGGTGGGTATCATCTCTGCCCTGGCCAGTGAGTGCTGTTGCTGGCCCTTTGCCCAGGAAGGGGCCAGTGAGACAGGCTAGAGAAAAAGACCTCCAGCCTCCTGCTGGCTGCAGTACAGATCCTCCATACGGTCCTCGGTCAACCAGTTCCCCACTCCTGGGCCTCAGTTTCCTATCTGCAAAATGGAGTCTTGTGTTATTGACCTCTGAGTTCCATTCCGTTGTAGTATTCTGTCAATCTGTGTGTGAGCTCTTCCTCTCCCTCCTTCCTAGCTTTCTGTGTCCTCCCATTTAGTCCTCTTGTATCTCGCGGGACTTCCAGGCAAGATGATGGTCGTGATGATGGTAGTTGATGATGATCTAGTGGTGACGATGAGTATGAAATGATGAAGATGGTGAGGATGGTGAGGACAGGGAAGCAGCACTTGGGTTCCTCATTCTTCCTCGGGGCCAGACTCAGGGTGGAGTCCTCTGTGATCCCCTCAGCTCTCTTAGGGGGCAGGACCAGTCAGCATGCCTGCTGTAGTGGAGACTCAGAACTGTGCGGGACTGACCTGGAAGCACAGTGTCTGAAATGACCCAATGAAAACCTCTTGTGCCGAGTCACACGTCACAAAGGATGGGAGACGCTTGGGAGAGGGTGGATACCACGCCTTGCAGGAACCTCCATCACAAGGAAGTCTCTAGGTTTACCGTCTATGGAAGAAATTTCCATTTAGGCCTCTGATTCCAAGGTCCCCGCCAGGAACCCACAAGGCAAAGAACATTTCCTACACAGCGGGCTGGCTTCTGGGACATGAGGAGGAGGAAGTTGGGCCCAAAGGTGTGCAGCCGCTTGGGGAGTGAACCACTGGACGGAAGATCTTCCTCTCTGTCTCTCCTCTCTGTATATCTGCCTTTCCAATAAAAATAAATAATTTTTTTTCAAACTTACAGGAAAATCCAAAAAATTACATAGGGAACACTCCTATACGCACAGATCTGCCATTTGCTAACTCTTTGATGAATCTACATGAGTATGCATTCCTTCATTTCCCCAACCTTGCTTTCTTTCTGTTGCCTTTCCAAGTAATAGCAAACATAGCCCTCCCCAGATGGCCACAATGGCCAGAGCTGAGCTGAGCTGAAGCCAGGAGATTCCCCCAAGTCTCCCATGCAGGTTCAGGGTCCCAAGGCTTTGGACTATCCTCTACTGCTCTTCCTGGTCATAAACAGGGAGTTAGATGAGAAGTGGAACAGCTGTCGCAACACGAACTGATGCCCATATGGGATCCCAGTGCTTGCAAGGTGTAGATTTAGCCACTAGGCTACCACACCAGGCTCTTAATATTTTTTTAAGATTTTTTTTATTATTATTATTGGAAAAGCAGATATACAGAGAGGCGGAGAGACAGAGAGGAATATCTTTCATCCGGTGTTTCACTCCCCAAGCAGCCGCAACGGCTGGAGCTGAGCCAATCCAAAGCCAGGAGCTCTTCCAGGTCTCCCACGTGGGTGCAGGGTCCCAAAGCTTTGGGCTGTCCTCGACTGCTTTCCCAGGCCACAAGCAGAGAGCTGGATGGGAAGTGGGGCCGCCAGGATTAGAACTGGGGACCATATGGGATCCTGGTATATGCAAGGCGAGGACTTTAACCACTACACTATCACGCTGGACCCTCAATATTCATTCTTGAATTCAGCCTTCCTGACCCCCTCAGGCCATCATCACTACTCCATAGTCCCAGTTTACAGATCAGGAAACTGAGGCCCATTATTTCAAGGATAGCCAACAAATAAGAAGCCAAACTGGAACTTAATTTAGTACTTCAAATCTCTTTTGGGAGCTGTGGTTAGAATGCAATGAGGCACATCATGTGACTTCGATAAAGGACAGCTAACAGCACAGGGCAGACACAAGTAAAATCTTGGGAAGGAGTTACCGAAGGGCATAGTAATGGGTGGTCTCAGGAGGCGGCTGGGCTGGGCTTGATGCTGGGAGGTCCCTGGGGACCTGAACAAGCACTGTTTCTGGCAAGGGAGCAGCAGCGAGGGGGAACACACAAGGATTGAGGGGCACATGGAGTGGGAGCGGGAGATGCGGACAGCTCTGCTGGAAGTGATGGGGGGGGTCACGGGTGCTAGAAAGGGGTTGCTGCACATCCTGGGGCTCTCTGCATGTTTGCATGCCAGTGTAACTGAGTGTAACTGAGCGGATGTGGGAGGCAGGGGGCGGGATAGATGGAGGAAGGCTTGAGACACGTGGACAGGGGAGAGGAGAAGAGAGGGCAGGGGAGGAGGGAGGTGTGCCTGCCTTCCTGGGAATGACAAGGAAGGACTGAGGTGCCCAGGGTGACAGAGGCAGGACTGGGACCTACAGCCCCGGATGTGGGCTCCTTCCCCAGAGCTACCTCTCCTGGAGGGACCGAAGAGCCCACTGTGCCTTCCCCAGCTCCACAGGGCTGCAGGGCGGGTGCTGGGGCTGTGCTTCCCATGAAGGATGACAACAGTGCTACGTGAAGGTCCCTGAGATTCCAGTGAGCCAAGAGTACCAGAACGACACTCACCAGCCCCAACCCATCTCACAGAGGAGGAGACTGAGAGTTATGGGAAAACAACAGCTGCCCCTTCTGAGCACTGAATAGTATTAACACTATATACATTACTGAATCATTGAAAGAGCCCTCATCCTCCCGTCCGAGGACCATTAAGTGAGCACTCGCTCACACCGTATCTCACGGGGAGTCAGCAGAGCTCCGCACTGGCAGGAGTTCTGACCCAGCAGCTCCCCGCTCTCTGCTGTTCACGTGACACAATCACCTAACTCCTCAGAACAGAGCCCTGGTGGGAAGCAGCGTGTGACCAGTGGCTTGAGTTACCGCTGTGTTAAGAGATGTGGAGGAGACGGGCACAGTAATTACAGCCCCGCGAGGCAGGCCGAGGGGGAGGACAGAGTCATCCCGCTGACAGGGCGAAGGGGACGGCAGGCAGGAAGGTACCAGGTCAGCAAGGAGCAGAGCATGGAGGGGGAAGTGAAGGGAGGTGCTTGGCAGGGGAGGACGGATGGACGGGGCCAGGCCTGCGGCCGGCTAAGAGCCCTGGACTGGACCCCCCGTGTACGTGACAGCCCCGAGAGTTCCAGTCTGGGAGGGGGAGAATGTGAGAGACCCACTCTGCTTGGGGAAAAACTGAGGCTGGAGAGAAGGCCGATCCTCCTACCTGACCCGCACCAATCCCCACCGTGTGCTAAGTAAGCCACTGCTTTGTCCTGTTCACGCACTCTCTCACTTGACCCTCACCTCAACCAGATGTGGGCAGCCTGCTTGGCACAGGGCAGGCCCCCTGAAGCCTCCATCCTGGTGCCGGGTCGCACAGCTGAGAAGGGTCAGGGCTGCAACTCCAGACACTAGCGGCTTTGGGAGAGGTGACACGTGCACATCCCCCCACCGCCGATGCTGCCACCCTGTGTGCCCCTCCCTCTGCAGACAATCGCTGCATGGACCGAAGGTTCCTTCCCGCCAAGTCCAAGCAGCTCATCGCGCTGGCCAGCTTCCCGGGCGCCGGCAACACGTGGGCTCGCCACCTCATCGAGCTGGCCACCGGCTTCTACACTGGCAGCTACTATTTCGATGGCTCCCTCTACAACAAAGGTGAGGAGACGGAGGAGGAAGTGGGGTCGAGACGACAGCCTGCACCTGCCTCCACCTGCCCCTGCTGAGTGCCGCCAGCTGCCCTGGGCGTGTGTACGGAGCCCTGCTGTGTGCTCGGTCCCTTCCCTCCCTTTATATACCACAAACACGTCCCAGGTCACCTGTGTCAGTTCAGTGACGGACATGGAAGAAGCCCCTGTACCTGACCTCCATTTAGGTCCCCACTTCCTTAAGCACCTGCTATGAGCTGGGCGCCCCACCGGTTTCTCCTGACCATGGACCCGGTACTTTGCACAGGTGCACATAAGCACAGCCACTCTGGGAACAGTTGGTGAGCCCCCGCCATTCACCAGTGGTCATCCAGTAGGTGCTCCTGCATGGTGACACAGCGTTGCTGTGTCCCAGATGCAGCCCTAACATGTGGTCTCTAGTGGGCATGTATGGAGCACCTGCCGTGTGCCAGGCACTGCCGTGGGCTCAGATGGCCTAATGTGTCCTTACCCTCCAGGAGAGCAGTGCCAGGTGCTGTGTTCTTATTTACTCTGCTCGGGAACACCTAGCGGTGGGATGGTCACGCCACCACCCGGATGTAGAAACGGCTTTGGCAGGAGAGGGAACTTGCCCAGAGTCACACCGTGTTTTTGTTTCGTTTTGTTTTCAGTGGGTTGATTGAAAGTGACAGCCTAGTGTGTCTGAGCTTCATAGTTCCTGAGCCTTTGAAATGAACACCTGGGCACGGCTCTCCTTCCCTTCACTTAAATCCTTCTGACGGCCGCTGGGTCTCTCCGGGCTAGGACGGCCTCATCATCGCCCTCTTCCCCCACGCCGTCCGGCCTCACACTGCCCACTCACCCCCTGGGCTGCCTCGGCAGTCGCTCGCCTGGGCCGCATTCATTCTCTCCACCCAGCACAGGCCTTGGCACCTGCTGTCCCGCTCCCTGCCCACCTCTCACTCCTCTGGCTCATCTCTCAGCTTCAGCGCTTCCCCTCACGTCCTCCCTGGGGAGCCCGGATTTCAGCGGGACTGCAGACCAAGGACTCACCTGTTCTGTTGCCTCCCTTCCCCTGGGACCGGTACTGACCCTGCACTGCCTGTCCTCCACTTGGCGATGGCACAGAAGCCTGGGCAGAGACAGGATACATCTTGGAAACTCTCCTCAATCTATCGGCCAAAGAAAATCGCATGGCCACGCCCCACCGCGGTGGGGATGGAGTGCAGAATCCCCTCAGAGAGGAACCAGCTACCCCGTCACCCGTCCCTGTAGCCAACACACTCCTCTTCTGTAGCCAGGCTTCTCCTTAAAATTTGCATTGTTATTTGAAGATTCTGACTGAAAAAAAATAGTGATGCCCCTGCCAGGTGGCGGGCAGATTTGTGTCTCTCCTTGTAGCACTAGGCCTGGTACAAGGAAGGTGTTGAGGAAAAATGTGAGTGAGCCAGCACAGGAATCCAGGGGCAGCTCACAGGGGGTGGGGTGGTCTTCTTGCCTCCTACACCTGCCTGGCTAACCCGCTGTGCTCCTCCTCTCCCCATTCCTGGCCTCGGGTCAGGGTTCAAAGGCGAGCGGGACCACTGGCGTAGTGGACGGACCATCTGCATCAAAACGCACGAGAGCGGCCAGAAGGAGATTGAGGCCTTCGACGCCGCCATCCTGCTTATCCGAAACCCCTACAAGGCCCTCATGGCCGAGTTCAACCGCAAGTACGGTGGCCACATCGGCTTTGCCGCCCATGCGCACTGGAGAGGCAAAGGTACCACTGGGGCGGGGTGTTGTAGGGTCTGGGGGAGGAGGGCCGATGTAGTCCTGGGTGGCCAGGACTGAGCGATTTCTCATGGGAGAATCAGTCATTCCTCCAGCACACCTTCTCATCAATGTCATCGATTCAGGCCTGCCCGACCTGCTGTGCCCCTACCCCCATCACTTGAAGGGCGCGGAGGGGAGCCTGATTCCTCAGCTCATCTCGGCCTCACCTCTCCTCTCAAGGGAAGGGGTGGAAGTTAGGAAAGTGATGACGTTTATTTATCCCCAGAATGAAAAAGCCCTTGGATGATTTAGTTACAGAACTGTCAGAAGCAAATGTGGGGCGGAGCCAGGCTGCCACAGCTGTGGGTGCAAATGGCAGGAGCGTGTGTGAGGGGTGCGGGGGGAACAGATTGTGTGTCACAACCTCAGGGGTCCCAGGAGACCAGCTGAGCAACTGGTCCTCATCTCTGGCACTTCAAATCCCATCCTTGGGCTGCATCCTGGACCGTCACTGGAGTGGAGGCAGACAGGGCTTCCCACAGACAGGCAGGGCTGAGAACCACAGGTGTGGACACCCTGCTGGGGAGGTGCTGAGCTCACCAGGTCCCTGGAGGCTGGAGCCCCTGTGTGGTCACGCACTGCTCACCCTCTCACCTCAGGCTCAGTCACACAAGGCGGGGAAGTGAGGCTGCCACTGTCACTCCCTTTTCCAGGTGAGCAAGCTGCCAAGCTGAGGCCCCCCCGCAGCTAACAGAGCTGGGATTCAAACCCACATCTCAGCCCCCAGGCTCTGCTCATTCCTGGCCGGGCTGCTCACCTATCCCTCAAGCTCCTTGGCTTAGTATCAGATCATCCTTCTAAGCGGTTTTAAAGATTTTTCTTTTAGAAATTAATTTCTTTGGAAGAGGGAGAAAGAACTCTTTCCATCTGCTTATTTGCTCCCCAAATGGCCGCAGTGGCCACGGCTGGGCCAGGCCAGGCAGGCTACAGCCAGGAGCTCCATCCTAGTCTCCCATGGAGTTGGCAGGGCGTCAGGTCCTTAGACCACCACCTGCTGATTTCCGGTGCATTACCAGAGAGCTGGACAGGAAATAAAGTAGTCAGGACTTAAGGGGGCACTCTGAGGTATGGGCGTCGCAAGTGATGGCTAAACCCACCGAGCCACAATGCCTGCCTTGTCTCACAGCCACCAGTCTCTTAAGACTGCTGGAGAAGGGCAGCACTACAGGAGGAGCTGGGGCAGGCAGAGCCTGGAAGCTGCCGCAGCGGACGCCCAGGGAAGGGCCGTGTGGCACAATCGTCTCATCCCGGGGTCCCAGCAGCCCCTCCAAGCCTGGCCCAAGTTTCCATGGCTGCCAAGCACCTTCCCTGAGGAGCTGATCCCTGGGCTGCACCCAGGCATTTTCTCTCACCACTGGAGCCCCTGGGGACTGGAGCAGCAGTCCCTGCTTTCCAGCCTCTGGAGCAGCAGCAGCAGCAGCATGACCTCCTGTGAGCTTGCTAGAGATGCAGATTCTTGGGCCCCGCCGACACACACACACACACACACACCCCACGCCCCCGTGGTGCAGCAGCAGTTCTAGGCGTGAGGTTCAGCCTTCTGTCCTTGAGCAAGGATGGCCCAAGTGTAGCCTGTGAACCCACAGCACTGACATACATGGTTGTTGTATTGTTGTGTTGGGCTGATTTTTAAACTTGTTATTGGAGAGAGAGAATGACAGATAGACCCTATCTACTCATTCATTTCCAGAAAGTCCAGGGTTGGGCCAGGGCTGAAGCTGGGAGTGGCAGCTCCATCCGGGTCCCCCAGTGACTTGGGTTGCCACTGTTGTTCCCCCATCCCCCTGGGTGTGTACCAGCAGGAAGCTAGAGTCCAGAGGTGGGCATTGGACCCTGGTACCCCGATGTGGGATATGGGCATCTTATTTGCTGGGCTGGCTGCCTGCCTGTCCCCCTGGCAGAGCCTCAGCCCAAGCTTCCCGGGTCAGAATCTGCATTTGAACCAGAGCCCCATCAGAGGTGGTGCACTTCCCAATTTGAGAATCTAGCAGAGCTAGGGGAGGTCACCCAGTTGGTGACCTATTCACCACTCCCCCCCCCCCAGCCCCGATCCCACTCCCAAGTCCGGCAGAGTCCAGGCTCCCACGCCCTCCCCACTTTTGGTTCCATAACGTTAATTTTACAGTCTCCCTGGAGTGAGGCCAAAGCAAAATTTTATGTGCTGTGATTACACAAGGTGAATTCTCCTGGATCTGTTTAATGAAACGGATCCTGTGTTTAATGATTCTGTGGGGAATTAAGTACAGTCGAGCTATTAATCAGGGCCCCCTGTTCCTGCCATCAATGACAAGACAGAGCAGTGGTGGAGGGCAGGCTCCCCACAGCTGGGCACACCTGCGTGGTGGTGTTTCCGGCAGAACCAGCCCCATCAGCCCAGCTCCACGCTCAGCGCGCCTCTCCCACCCAACAACTCCTGGGAATCCGGAGCTAATCAGGGGCTTTTGTTGTTAACGCTTATTCTCTTCTCCAGCCTGGTGACTCAGGAGCTCCAAGTCAGGAAGCTTTGCTAAAGGGACACGAGCTGGGCACACACCTGGTGCAGAGACTGCCAAATCTCTATTGTGTTTTAGGGAAGAAGCTGAGAGCGAAATAATGGGGCCTGTGGGGGTGTCCTGCGTGACGCAGATGAGCTTAACTGGCATGTGTCAGGCACTTCCTGTGTCCCAGCTCCCACACCAGGATCTCTGTAGGTCTGATCCTGCTTCTAGCCTTCTGGGGGTAGGGGAGGATAGGATTGGCACTGCCATCTTGTGGGTGGAGAAACTGAGGCCCAAGGCCACATGGAGAGGAGCTGGGTTCTAAAGCCTGGCAGTCTGGTGACCAAGATGTATCTGAGCACACTCGGTTCTCACAGGGGGCCTGGGGATCGGGCCTCCCCAGAGCTGGTGGGGTCAGGTGCTCTGGCTGAGGCTGTCGGAACCATGGCCAGGCTCAGCTGGGTGAAGGTTAGGATTATGCCTGGGCACACACTGTGCTTCATGCCTCTGAGCGTCCTGGCCCCTGTCTCTAAAACAGGTCTAGACTGTCACTGCAATGAGATTCTTCATGCGCGACACCCAGTGCAGCCTCTGACACCTAGCAGGTGCTCAGGCAGCATGCATCCCCAGGCCAGAGTCCTGTGGAGCTGTGCCATCCCCACAGACACAGCTCCTCCATACCCTACCCTTGTCCACGGGGAGGGCACCTGCTCTGCCCAGAGGGACCCCCAACCATCTCAGAAGGCCCAGAGGAACCACACACAGCACCATCTCTATAACCCGGTCTGCTCCCTGGGCAGGGAGCAGCAGTCCTGGACCACCAGGGATACTGGAAGGTGCCTCAGGAGGGTGCAGCCTTCTGAACTGGTGACACAGCTCTCCCCACATCCCCCAACCCCCATCCCAATCTTCTCTAATCGCTCAGCTACATCTGGCCTTAAAACCATTCAAACAGTATGGGCCCAATTAGCCAGAGTCGCCATAAATAATCTATGTTAAGAATGAAAAACAAGACCCTTAGCAGCAGAAATATCTCCCAAGCAGCCGTGGGGTTCCGGGGAGCGGGGCGGAGCAGTGCTCCCTACAGATCCCAATGTGCTCTGCCCGGGAAAGGAGCCCTTGATCACACTGCAATCTGGCAGCTGGGAATTTCAATTTTGCTCAACAGCCATTCCTGGAAACCCTGCCAAGCACCAGGCGGTGGCAGGGGCAGGCGCCAGGTTGCCAGTGCCAGGGAAAGCACTGGGCCTACACCCTGGCCTGGTCCAGAGGGTGCTGCCCTGCTGCCTCCTGGAGAGAGCGTGGGTCTCCACCACCCACCAAGGGGCTCCAAGACTGGACTTGGCAGATCAATTCCTGTGGTTCCCTCTGGAGGGCACTGGAGAGTGTAGCACACACCAGAAGCAGAGGGCCTGTGGCCCCGCACCTGCTTTGTAGGAAGCAGCTGGGCTCCAGTTCCCTGGTCCCAAAGCCTTCCTCTGCAGCCTCAGCAGCTGCAGGTGCTGGCTCCTCTGTCCGGGCGGCCCTTGCCAGGACTACCCAGGAGAGTTCCCTCTAACTGTTGTTTCAAGTCAGTCCCAAAAGCATCCACCCAATTTCAACCGTGACCTGCCCTGTCCTCTCAGCATGGCAATGTCACAAACAAAAGATGAAATAGGGTGTGATACTCCAGTAAAAGTAAAGGCACGTGTAGGGGCTGGCCCTGTGGCACAGGGGGTGAAGCCATGGCCTGAGTCCAACACCAGCATCCCCCCAAAGAGTACAGGTTCGACTCCCAGCTGCTCCACTTTGGGTGGAGCCCTCTTCTGGTGCAGTTGGACAGGTAGGAGAGGAAGGGTGGGTAGAGAAGAAAACAAGAGTAGGAATGGCAGGAGGAGAAAAGAAGAAAAGTAGGGAGGATACACAGGTGAGGGAGGGAATCAAGGTGGGAGGCTAATGAGGAAAGGCGGTTAGAAGAGAGGAAATGGAAAGAAATGTTAGGGAAAAAAGTTTAGGGATACAGAGGGACGGTAAAAGGGTAGGGAGAGAGGGTAGGAAGGGGAGGAGGGAAGTAACGGACGGGGAGCAAAGTGGGAGCTAACATACACAGACAGGGAGGGTAGACCAGCAATGTAGGAAGGACAGGGTGAGAACAGACGCAGGGACGGGGGGATTTATGTGCGTGGGGGGCGGCGGGAAGGGCAGGGAGTGAGCGTATGATGGGTAGAGAGGAAGGAAGGGAAGGGCCTGCAGCAAAGGCGTTAGGGATGGAGATGAAAAGGCAGCAAGGGAAGGAGACGAGGAAACGGCTAGTGGGGAAGTGCAAGGTTAGGAATAGTACGGAGTGGGGTGAATGTACAAGGGGAGGAGTGAGGGTCGGTAAGGCTGCAGGAAGGGTGAGAATACAGGAAGGATGGGGTGCTGGTGGAAATGAGGAGGGAGGGAACAAAGGCATAAGGGTGTAGTGGGGAGGCGGGAAGCATGGAGAGGAGATAGCAAGGCTAGGAAAGGAAAGTATGAAAGCTAGGGGATGGAACATAGGGAGGAATGGTAGGAAAAGTGGGGGCAAGGGAAGGTATAAGGACAGGGGATGAAGGCTTGGGGTAAGGAGCAAAGCCATTAGGGCAGGGAGTGACTGTCTGAAGTGGAGGGAGGGAGGTTTAAGAGTATATAGTGGGGCCCGGCGTGATAGTGTAATGGTGAAGGTCCTTGCCTTGAATGTGCTGGGATCCCACATGGGCACCGGTTCTAATCCCAGCAGCTCCACTTCCCATCCAGCTCCCTGCTTGTGGCCTGGGGACGGCCCAAAGTTTTGGGATCCTGCACCCGCGTGGGAGACCCAGAAAGCTCCTGGCTTCGGATTGGCTCAGCTCTGGCCATTGCGGCTGCTTGGGGAGTGAACCATCGGACAGAAGATCTTCCTCTCTGTCTCTCCTCCTCACTGTATATCCACCTTTCCAATAAAAATAAATATTTTTTTTAAAAAAAGTATATAGTGAAGGTGGGAAGGGAATGAATGTATGAAGGCTAGTGAGGGAGGGAATAAGGAAATGGAGGGAAGGTATTGCAATGGGTCAAGAAGGGAGGGAGGGAATGTGGAAGAAGGTGGGAACCCTAGGGAGAGAGCGTAGAACAGTAACAGGGAGAGAGTAAGGAAAAGGATGGGAGATACGAAGAGTAAGGGCAGAAGGGTCGGAGCGCAGCTGAAGATTGTATAACGGTAGATCCGAAGGTGGTAAAGGGAAGGTAAGAAGCACCGGCAGAGGGCCCGGCGGCGTGGCTTAGCGGCTGAGGCCCTTGCCTTGAACGCGCCGGGCGCCGGTTCTGATCCCGGCAGCTCCACATCCCATCCAGCTCCCTGCCTGTGGCCTGGGAAAGCTTAGTCGAGGAGGCTTTGGGACCCTGTACCCGTGTGGGAACCTCAGAGGAGGTTCCAGGTTCCTGGCTTCAGAGCGGCACAGCACCGGGCCATTGCAGTCACTTGGGGAGTGAGCCATTGGACAGAGGATCTTCCTCTCTGTATATAATAAAATAAAGCGGGGGGGGTTGGGGGGTTGGGGGGCCTAGGTAAGGCTAGGGAAATAAAGCCCCCAGGGGCAGGGGGCAAATTATCTAGAATGAATGAATTAGAAGGGGAGGAAGCATAGGGAGTAGACCACATAATTTTATCTCCCACTCACTTCTTTAAAGTAGGGAATAAAGTAGGGACCTTAGACAAGGATAGGAATGTGTAAGGCAGAGGGTGTGAAAGTTAAGGAAGGGCAGGTAGAAAAGATAGTGTAAAAAGCAACCGCGCGTCGGCCCCCCCGGCGTGATAGAGTAGTGGTTAAGGTCCTCGCCTCGAACCCACCAGCTCTAATGAGCGCCGGTTCTAATCCCGGCAGCTCCACTTCCCATCCAGCTCCAGCTCCCTGCTTGTGGCCTGGGAAAGCAGTGGAGGACGCCCCAAAGCACAGCCATTGTGATCACTTGGGGATCTCTTTGTGTATCTGGCTTTGTAATAAAAATAAATAAAATCTTTTAAAAGTAGGGAAGGAAGATATAAGGGTCGGAGAAGGGCGGGATTGTACTGAGGTATAAGGTACAGAGCGAAGGTATGAAAGAGTAGAGAGAGATGGGGTGGGTCACAGTGTTGAAGGATGGGGCGGGAGGTGTGAAGGTAAGGAGGGAAGGTGTTGAAGGGTAGAAAGGCGGCAGGAAGCAATACGGAAGCGATAACAGTAGGAGAGAAGGTACGAATGGTAGGGAGGGCAGGAAGAAGCAGGAAGAGGTGAGGTCGGGTACGCAGAGCAGGGAGGATGCAGCAGTGTGTGAGGACCCGAGCGGGAAGCAGTGCAGGTGGAGCGATGTGGAGCGCGTCAGGCAGCAGTGCTCACCTAAGAACTCGGGAGTCAGCGTGTTCCTGACTGCCGGCTCTGCGCCACAGCACCGTGAGCAAGTTAATAAGATATTAATCTATTATTTGAAGTGTCCAGTGAGAGAGAGATCTTCCTTACCCATGTAGGTGTCGGGGGCCCAAGCCCTCCCGCCGTCCTCTGCTGTCTTCCGGAAGTGGGGCAGCCGGGACCCCACCGACACCCCTGTGGGACGCTGGCATTGCAAACCTCACAGCTTCATGTGCTGTGTGACGGTGCCAGCCCCAACTTCGCCTCTTTGTGCCTCAGTTTCCCTTTGTTTAATCTGAAATAAAGCTGACCCCCACCTCCCGGGAGGCGTGCGTGCCATTACCACCATGTGGAGGCATGTCTCAGGCCTCATGGTAACACACACATCTGGCAACACGAAGGGACTTCAAAGCCGTCAGGGGAAAATGAAACAAGATAAACTGATTTGGGGGCAAAGCAAGCTTTGAAATGCCTACACCAGTTTTTATCTCCAAAACACACATTTTCCCTGAACTTTCTGGGAGATCCCTGTTAGACACAATTTTTGAGTTTCACTTAGAAATTATGAACTCTGAAGGAGTTACATCATCTACAACGTGAAGTTATATCTGTTTAAATAATAGATGTCACACGAAGACAGGTTTGCACACTGTCATATCCCACCCATCCCCACCCAAGGCAGGGGAGAGATGGGGTGCCAGGGACTGGAGCGGCAGCTCTGGGTGGGGTAGGGGGGCTCAGCGTGTGACAGTCGCCCCAGGCCGCCAACCACCTCGTCTCTCTCCCCGGCAGAGTGGCCCGAGTTCGTGCGGAACTACGCGCCGTGGTGGGCCACGCACACGCTGGACTGGCTGCAGTTTGGCAAGCGCGTGCTGGTGGTGCACTTCGAGGAGCTGAAGCGGGACCTGTGCGTGCAGCTGGGCCGCATGGTGGGCCTGCTGGGCGTGGCCGTGCGCGAGGACCGGCTGCTGTGCGTGGAGAGCCAGAAGGACGGCAACTTCAAGCGCTCGGGGCTGCGCAAGCTCGAGTACGACCCCTACACGGCCGACATGCGCAGGACCATCGCTGCCTACATCAAGACAGTGGACGCGGCCCTGCGCGGGCGGAACCTCACGGGCGTGCCCGAGGACTACTACCCGAGATGATGAGAGCACGGCCGGGGGCGTCCCCGCCCCCCAACCTTCTTCTTGCAGTTTGAGGGGTGGGGAGGGCGTTCCCCCACGACTGCTGTTTGCCTGGATGAGTTTCCTGCATGATCAAGGAGGCTCTGGGGTGAGAAAGCCCAGCACCCCCACCTTTGTCCCACAGCCACCCCCTTTCCTGGGTGGCAGGAGTAGAAGTCCCCACTGAGCAGGGTCTCCCAGACTTTGCGGTTGTCCCTTCAGAGCCCACTGCACCCCAGGAGGAAGGCTTACTGGGGACTCTCGCCCATGACCTAGGTAGCAGGTGGGGGGCAGATAGGTACCTGGAATCGGGAGCCCATGCCCACCCCATCTTCTGAGGCCACACTACCGATCCTAAGAAGTTGGTCATGGGCCTCAGCTTTGCCCTTTTCTTCCCATGCTGGGTCCCGGAAGTGAACTTGGGGTCCTGGATCGCACTTCCGATGGGGGTCCCTCAAGTACTCATGAGCCACCAGGGTGGGCGTAGGCCACCCCGGTTCTCCTTGGGCCCAACTCGGCCATTTAACACTGCCCTCCTGGCCCCTGCTCCAAACCCAGTGGGATCACACCCACCTTGCCCAGACCACCAGCCTGCCCCTGGTTATAGCTGCGGGATGGGAGGCCCTCAGGCACCCAGCAGGGCTGCTGTCCAGGTGCTGAGCCACCAAACCAAAGGCTTCCAGAGGCCCCCAACACATTGACCCAGCATCATCCACAGCACGGGACCAGGGTCCCGCCTCTCCTCGCCCTGGGTACCAGAGGCTCCACATCCAGCCCTCACCTTCACCTGCCCCCACGTGGGTGCACAAGCCATAGGTCACAGCCTCTTTGCTGTTTCGTCCTGAGCAGCCCCTGCCCCACTCACAGGTGCCCCCCTGGAGGCCTCGGGGTGCGGGCAAATGAGTGGGCAGACACTCATTCCCAAACAGCAAAGAGACTAGGGAGACGGCGCGTGTACAAAGATCTATTTTTCTAAGAGGAATATGAGCAATGCATTCCCACCCTGTGCCCCCCCGGAACCCGGGCCATGCACCGAGAAAGGCACGGGGACCCGGCCTGTGCCTCCCTCACCTCCCCACCCTGACCCCATCACGTGTACAACTTGGGCCACCCCAGGGCCCAGCCACGGGCTCTGAATGTATTTTGTACCACGTGTCTTTGACCCCAATCTCCAGTCATCTTTCCCGAAGCAGCGGGGGCCTGGCCTGCCCTCCCGCTCCCTGGTTCTCTGCGGGCGGCCCACTGGGACCACAGGCTTCCGTCTGCAGATTCCTCAGGTCAACACCCTCATTAAATGCGAGTTTTGTTGATAATCCTGCCCCATGGTCAGAGTGTTGTATGAGACAAACCACAAAGGGGAAGGTGGGGAGAGGGGTGCCTGATGACCACTGCACCTGCCATCAAGGCTCCACACACTCCTGAGTGTCAAACCTTCTTGGCATTCAGTGCCCTCACATCTCCCAGTGGGCATCTCAAGTGTGTCTACTTTTTGCTTGTCACTATTTGAAAGGCAGAGTTCAAAAGGATTGTGGGGGTGGGGAGCAATCTCCTATCTGAAGATGTACCCTGCCCAAAGTTTGCACAGTAACAGAGTGTGCCAGCCAGGAGCTGGAAACCCAGTCCAGGCCTCCCCCGGGACCATCAGTGACCCGGGCCTGAGGCTGCTTTCCAAGGTTCACGCTGGAAGGGAGCCAGGCCTGGGGTGGGAGTGTCCCAAGCCGCGAAATCACTGCCACAGGGCTGACCCCTGGCTGCCCACCCTGTGGCACAGGAGGATGTCAGGAGCCAGTGTGAGCCCGTGCCTGGGAAGCTGCCTGTGTGTTGTGCAGAGGTTGAATCCCCTGCACCTTGTCTCCATGCTGGGGCCAACGCCCCGTGTGCTGCATGCAAGGGCAGGAGACTTGTTGTCCACGAGAAGTGTCCTTTTGTGTGACGCTGGGCACAGACAGGAAGGAAGCCTGGGAGAATGACAGGGGAGTGTGAAGGTCCCAGTCTCTCCCCTGGGGGTTCCTGCCAAGTCATCCAGGCTCCAGGCTACGCCCTGATCCCAGTCCTAATCAAAGTCTGGCCTGGGCACAGTCCCAGCCTTGCTCACGCTAAGCTTTGGCTCCTAGTTTGTCAGCTATGTCCCCCTGTCTACCCTCACCCTAAATCTCAATGCCTTGACTCTGAACCTGGGCTTAGCCCTGAACCAATGTCTGTCTGCTTTCACTCCTCTGAATACGGCTACATGGGGCTGGTGCCGTGGAGGCTAAGCCTCACCTACAGTGCCAGCTATCCCAGGTGGGTGCTGGTTCTGGTCCCAGCTGTTCTACTTCTGATCCAACTCCCCCTGCCTGTGGCCTGAGAAAGCAAAGCCTTGGGCCCCTGTCACCCATGTGGGAGATCTGGATCAGCCAACTCTGGCCTTTGCAGCCATTTGGGGTATCAACCACAGGGTGGAGGAGCTCCCCCTTTCTCTCAGTAACTAACTTTCAAATCAAAAATACTTACCTGGGCCCGGCATGATAGCGCAGTGGTTAAGGTCCTCGCCTTGCACACATCGGGATCCCATATGGGCGCTGGTTCTAATCCCGGCCCCGCTTCCCATCCAGCTCCCTGCCTGTGGCCTGGGAAAGCAGTGGAAGACAGCCCAAAGCTTTGGGACCCTGCACCCATGTGGGAGACCCAGAAGAGGCTCCAGGCTCCTAGCTTCGGATTGGCTCAGCTCCAGCCGTTGCAGCCGCTTGGGAAGTGAATCATCAGACAGATCTTCCTCTCTGTCTCTCCTCTCTGTATATCCGCCTTTCCAAAAAAAAAAAAAAAAGTAAAGATAAAAGAAAAAAACAAAAAACTTACTACAAGAGTGTGCTAGCATGCAGCACCCCATCCCAAGCTCCGCTGTGTCCTCCTTGGATCTCGTGGCACCTGTGTCCTCGGTCTAGGGAAGGGAAGAGAGGGGATAGACGCACTGCAGGCCAGGGGTGGACTGCCCTGGACTACCCCCTCTTCCTGGTGGCCACAGCTTGCCTTTCGCCATCACAGATCAGCAGCCTCCTTGAATCAAATCTGTATTACTGAGCCCTGAGCAACCACGGTAGCCTCATTCACTCACTCACTCATTCATTCATTCATTCAGGGGGCATTTACTGCATGCCTACTGAGTGCTGGGGCTGCTCTCCGTTCTAGGGGTTACAGAAGTGCCCCGGGTAGACAAAACCCCCACTGCCAGAGATGGTCTCTTGCTAGGGACTGAGCAGAGACCTGCCAGTTCACAGGGACATGGTACTGAGACAATGAAAGCCAAGAGCTTCAGTAGCTCCCAGGAGGCCCGTGCAAGCAGAAGCCCCTGGGCGGGGACTGCCGGGAAACTGACCTGCGTCCCTGAGGACAGAACGCACCAGGGCCCTCGCACACAACAATGAGGAGGGGGAGGAATATGGGAATATGGGAGCCCTCAGCTCCCTGTCTGTGCCCTCAGCTGCCTGTGGCCCAGCAGGCAGCAGGCACCTGCCAGGTTCCAGGTCCCCACAGACATGGCCCTACCCAGAGCCCTAAACCAACAGTATAAGGGGAGCCTCCCCTCTCCCCCTTTCATGCCCCTTGTCATGGCGTCACCTCTCTCCCAGCTGCTCATGAAACCCCCTCCCCGCCCTCATCTGCCTGGTAGTCTACACCCTGTTTCTCCCTGTCCCTCACCCCGCCCCATCTGGGGTCCTCTTAGTTTCATGAGAGGAAATGGGGGATGACTCTGCGGGAGCCAGGCACAGGGAGACAAATGCTACCCATGCTGGTAACCAAGGAAGTGGTTTCCTTAGCAACACCATCTGCAGGCGCAGGCTCCGCTGCCCCATGCCTCAGTTATGCCAGCTGGGGCAGAGAGAGAGGGAGGAGATGGAGGAGGCTTAGGACAGTGAAAACACTTCCCCGGGTATCCTGGCACGAGCGACTGGGGGCCTGGCACCTGGGGACACTCACAGATGTGATGGCTGTGGGGATGTGTGATCAAAGATGCACACAGGGTCTAGGAGCTTCAGGGAAGTGGGGAGTCCCCAGGGCTTGGTGGACTGGGAGGTGACAAGGACCCCAAGGCTCCTCCTGTCTGGGCAGCTCCCCAGAGGGGACTCTGGGCTGAGAGGGGGAGCACAAGGCAGGGAGGAGGAGATGACAAGAAGGAGGCCACAGCTCCCTACCCCCCAGGGTTCTGTGTGGAGTTGGTGGGATAGAGGCAGGGGAGGGAAGGGAGAGAGATCCAGAAACTTCCATGCAATGCTTGCTTACACATGGGCATTGGAGGAGGAGCCCAGCCCTGCCAGTGGGGGAGGCTTGAAGTGGAGAAAGCTCCGACAAGATGTGCACCTCGGAGCCACCAAGGGCCTCTGGACAGAAGGAGAGAGAGAGACTGACATCACAGCTCTGGCCCCTCTTCTCGTCTGGTAAACAAAACCATGGTTAGTTTTAGAGAAATGAGAGAGGAGGGCGGGCCGACAAAAAGCAAGAGTGTGAGCAACTATAAATAACCGTCCCCCAGGAAAACACCTGTGAGGACCATGCTGTTCCAGGAAGATGCAGCGTGTCCCTGTCCACGCGCAGGGTACATGACCCAGGGAGAGCGGGGCTGCGGAGAGCCCATCAGGTGGGTGTCCACGTGCAGACACGGCCCGGCTTGTTCCCCAGAGCTGCGCACGTGCCTGCTAGGCAGACTGTAAATCTGGGCGATCGTGGTACCCATCTTGGCGAAGGCAGCATGTTTATTTATCAGGGCTGCAGCTGACTGAAATTTATGGGCCACGCTCCCCCAGCCCCGGACAGTCGGTGGTGGGGAGAAGTTACCAACTGGCAGAGCAAGGAGAGGGGGAAAAAAATGGCAGCATATCTCTGTGTGCCCAGCTGCCACTTTAGAGATGAAAATGCCTATTCGTGGGAGCAGACCACAGAGCCAGGCTGGCGTCTGACAAGGCTGATGAAGACACAGAGCAGCGACCAGGTAGAAGGTGCCACAGTGGCTCCACAGGCACA